ATAAATAAATAAATAAATAAATAAATAAAGAGTAAGAGCTCCCTACCGGTGGGAAAAGTGCCAAAATAGAAAGACGACTTCTCGTTTCTGGTCCAGTCAAAGTCCTCGGCTAAGGCGGCGGCGCAGAGCCCCGCGGCCAGCAGGCGGCACAGCACCAGGAAGCCGCCGCTCAGCATCCTGCTCCCACCTCCTGCTCCGACCTCTGACCTCCCACCTCCCACCTCTGACCTCCTGCCTCCTGCCTCAGTCACACCTGTGGGCAGGCAGACCAGATGTTGGACATCCCCGCAGGCCAGGCGTCCCGATCACCAACAGGTCCCATCAGGGCTGTGGGGGCCGGCGGGGGGGCTTCAGGCCTGGAAGCTGAGCCCCCCCCCACCAGGCTCCCTGAGGGCCCCCTGAGGGCCCCATGAGGCTCCCTTAGGGCTCTCTAAGGGGCTCCCTGAGGGCTCCCTGAGGGCTCCCTGAGGGATCTCTGAAGGCTCTCTGAGGGCTCTCTGAGGGCTCCCTGAGGGCTCCCTGAGGGCTCCCTGGGGGCTCCCTGGGGGGTCTGACCTGCTGCGCGCGGCTCCGGGACGGGTCCCCCGGCTTCTGGACGGCGCTGGTGCTCGGCGGCCTCCCCGGCGGCGTGTGTGCCAGCGTCAGGGGAACAAAGCAGATGAAGCGTCCAGGACATTTTCGGCCATTCATCAGCGGGCGCGGGGTCGGCCTGAATGGCCCCCCTATTGGAAGCCAGTGAAGTGTGAGGGCAAAAGTGCAGGGGCAGGCAGATCTATTGGAGAAAGGAGGGATTTTTACTCAGTAAGCAAAGTTTGTGCTGGTGAACTGGGCCGGTTTGAGGCTCATTTACAGCATTTAGCCTCGAACAGGAGCAGAAACGTCCCAGATTGGTTGGTTTGAGTGAGAATAAAACCTGTTTGAGCCCTTATTTATGTGACAATCAAAGCCTAATTAAGAGAGTTAGCCAGGAAGCCCCTAAACATCTCACATATATGGCCAGAGGCTCTGTAAGAATGTTAAAAAGTTTATTTCACCTAAAAAGAGAAAAAAAACAGTATCGTTCACATTTCTCAAATTAGATCTTTATTTTTTTTGGATTAAATGTTTCACACTGACAAATGTTTCAGTGTTTAGCAAATAGAGACAAATGACACAGAAAGGAGAGAAATGTCATATTTTGTCAGAGTTCAGAGCTGGAAAACATGAAGAAATTAGAGCTGCTTTTAGGGTCCATCAGGTCCAGAAAAGGCCTTTAGGAACCATCAGGTCAAGAAAATACCTTTTAGGGTCAATCGGGTCCACAAAAGGCCTTTAGGGTCCATCAAGTCCAGAAAAGGTTATTAGAGTACACTAGGTCCAGAAAAGGCCCTTTTAGGATCCAACAGGTCCAGAAAATGCCCCCCAACGGGGTCTAGATGTGCTCCACATCTGGACCTGAGACCTGATGTGGACCCACAGTGACCAGATGTGCTCCACATCTGGCCCTGTGCTCCACAAGGGTCCACCTTTTCTGGGATTGGTTCCTCCGGAACAGGGCGGAGCCGCTCAGAGGCTGAGATCATCTCCTTGACCTTTGACCTTTGAACCTTTTGACCCTCTGTCTTGGTAGTTGTTGGGAAATAAACTGACTTTTCCAGGAATCTGTGGCCGTCGGTGGTCTCAGTTTTAGGTTTTACTCTGACTCCCCATCACCCACATTATCTTTAGGTTTGACAACTTTTGCCTCCTCTCCAAAAAAAAAACTGGTTTCTCAGCTCCTGTCGGGCCCACTCGGCCCCACTCGGGCCCACTCGGGCCCACTCGGGCCCCGTCGGTCGCGTTCGGGCCCCCGCGTCCTCACACCGCAGGGGGACGAGAAAAACTGCTGACGCGCTGAAAAGCAAAAGTGTTGGCACTGCACTCTGCGCGCGCGCCTCTGCGCGAACACGCGCGAAGCGTCCCGCGCGAGGTGCGCTCTTAGCATATGAATGGCGCGGGGCCGCGGGGGGGCCCCGGGGGGGCCGCGGAAGCGCCCTGAGCGTATTTAAGGCGCTTTCTTCTGGCCTCGCAGGGCTGACATGAACATCTTTACTAAGGTTCCAGGATTAACCCAACAAACCAGGTATGTCCCCCCCCCTCGGCCAACCCACTGCGTCCCCCCGCCCCCCGGGGCAGAGGGGTGGCGGGGGCAGGGCCACGGAGGGCCCCCGGCCCTCCTCCTCCTCCTCTTCCTCCTCCTCCCGGGGATCCGGAGGCGTGCGCGCTTTTACGCACGTTTTAGGATAGATTAGAAAAGACTAAATTACTTTATTGATGCCACATTAGGAAATGTGCACGTTACAGCTGAAAAAAGGGAAAAAATAAAGCATTTTATTTTGGATAAAAACATGTTTTACCCGGAATAGTGAGGAAAGAAGAGGGATCAGAAGGAAAAACGGTGAAAACCCGCCGGTTTTTGGGAGGAGGTGGATGAAAGGGGGCATCAGAATGAATCTGCTTTCGCTTTTTGTTGCCACTTGTGTTGAAACGCCTCTGTGTCCTCCGCAGCAAGCTGGGGTCTGTGCTCCAACGCGCCTTCTACGGGTCCAGCGGGAAGGTGAGTCCCTGTTTTACCCCCCAAACTCAGAGCCATGTTTTAAAACTGAAAAATAACCCCTTAAACCCTCTGACATCAGAGTTAATCGAACTAAATGGAGATTGGACCCCTTATAGACTGATTATTTAATTAATCAGACTCTTACAAACACGTTTTTTTACTCTTCGAGAAACCCAGATCCATGTTTTAGAATAAAAAATGTCTCATTTGAGTGTTTTTTAAACTGAAAAATAGCCCTTAAACCCTCTGACATCAGATTGTATTGAACCAAATTGAGATTTGACCCCTTATAGACATGATATTTTTATTGAGCCATGTTTTAGATTGATCATTTTAGAGGGTTTTTCAAGCCCAAACCATCACTTAAACCCTCTGAAATCAGATTTAATTTCACTAAATTTAGATTTGACCCTTTATGGACTAATTATTTCTTTAAATCTGATTCTGCCATTTTGTTCCATTTTTATTTTAAAATTTACGATTTAATTATTTTTAAAGGGTAAAATTCACTCTACCAGATTAATTTTATTATAATATTGAAACCCCAAAACACGTTTAGAATATCGTTTTAGTATATTTGACTGAAAAATGTGTGAAATTTGAACGTGTTTTTCACTAAATCAATGGATTTATTAATGTAGAAATCATAGAGTTTTAGGGCCCTTTTATGTCTTTGCAGTTCTTTAGTTGTCGGACACAAAGAAACTGTAAAATCCAGAAAGTTGAACGCTGTTGTCACCTAAAGCAGCCCCCCCCCCCCCCAGGTGTGGCCTCTCTGACACTAAGCCTCTCCGCTTTCAGGTGACCCTTTTCGAACAGAGAAACTTTGCCGGCCGGCGGCTGGACCTGAGCTCCGACTGTCCCCGGATCAGCGACAAGAACTTCCCAGAGAGATGCAACTCGGTGCAGGTGGAGGGCGGAGCGTAAGTCCACCTGAGACGCACATCTGCCTCCAGATGTGCTGTTTCTGTAGCGCCAGAGGCCCAGTGAGGGAACCTGTTATCTGTTTGGTAGATCTGTTTCTCAGGACCAAAAACACTCCCAGAGGACAGCTTTTGGTTAAAAAAACAGGCCCTAAAGAAAGTACAGACATGCTCTAAAACAATCGTAACTGGATAAAAATGACAGCTTTTGGTTAAAAAACAATCCTAACTGGATAAAAACAACACATTTTGGTTTAAAAACATGATTTAAAATAATCTGACTGGACAAAAACGAAAGCTTTTGGTTAAAAACATGATTTCAAACTATCTGAACTGGATAAAAACGACAGATTTTGGTTTAAAAACATGATTTTAAACAGTCTGAATTGGATAAAAAGGACAGGTTTTGGTTTATAAACATGATTTTAAACAGTCTGAATTGGATAAAAACGACAGGTTTGGTTTAAAAACATAATTTTAAATAATCTGAACTGGACAAAAATGAAAGCTTTTGGTTAAAAAAATGAATTCAAACAATCTGAACTGGATAAAAACGACAGATTTTAGTTTAAAAAAATGATTTTAAACAGTCTGAATTGGATAAAAAGGACAGGTTTTGGTTTAAAAACATGATTTAAACAATATGACCTGGATTTGAACATATGGGACCTGAAAATTAGTTAGTTTTGGCTTAGTTCTGGACGTAAATCACGTCCTAAAAGGGGGATTTCTGCTCCCGAGTCTGATTTTGGATACGGGCTTTTGATGTTTTTCTCTCTCTGGGCTGTTTCTTGCTGGGCAGATGGGTCGGCTTCGAGCATGAGAACTACAGGGGCCGCCAGTACCTGTGGGACATGGCCGACCGGGGGGAGTACAACTGCTACGACAAGTGGTGCGCGCAGGCCGACCACGTGTCCTCCGTCCGCCCTGTCAAACAGGTGAGGCCTCACAACCGCACACAGACACCGACTGGTGGCTTCGATTCCCATATGAGGAGAAACATATGTACGGTAGAACCTCTACATAGGAGTCTAACTGGTTCCAGGACCGACTTCGTATGTTAAAATATTGGTATGCTGGTTCAAATATTCCCAACCGAATATACTGTAATTCCCATAAGTCGTTCGAAAAACCTACGATAACTCCTTAATAAATACTGCAGATAATTACACATAGCAATACAACAAATGACTTATATAAGAGAGACGTAAAAATAAATAATAAATAAAGAAATAATCAATAAAAATGTTTTTTTATTATCCCTTTAGCTCAGAGACTGAATGGAGGTAGAGGTGGAGACTGAGATACACTACGTACACTAACTTACTCTGTCTTTACTACCTCAACTTTAAACTAACTTAGCTAATTCATTTTGATCTTATTTGTATCTATTTTTCTATCGATAGATATCTATTTTAGGCAATCTTAAGTTGAGGTTCTACTGTTTTTACAGCAGAACCTCTACTTCTGATGCCTAAACATACGAATTTTCCAACATACGAAGGGAAATTCGATTAAATATTCGACTCGACACCCAAAGTAAATTTCCAACATACATATAACATAGAAGGACGTCGAAGTCATACAAAAAATATTAAATCTTAAAATTAAATAAAAAAATAAAAATAAAGAGACAACTTTTGGTTAAAAAACAACAATCTGAACTGGATAAAAACTACGTTTTGGGTAAAAAACAATCCGAATTGGATAAAAACAACAGCTTTTGGTTCAAATTTGGTTGTAAATCTGCTTTTGCGAGCCGTTTCTGTACACTGAGGCTAACTGGGCTCTCGCCGGCTCTGCCGCTGACCACAGGACAACAACCCGGCCAGGGCCCAGCTGTT